ATTCATTTTGTGAGTATATTGAGTTAAATATATTTTAAATTTGAAATTGAAGTATAATTACTTTTAATTTTAGTTAAGTCAAATCAAATTAGTTTTATTTATCGCTTAAATATACATGTATTTTTATAATATTTATTTACTCTTTATTTTAGTTAAGTCAAATCAAATTAGTTTTATTTATCGCTTAAATATACATATATTTTCATAATATTTATCAAATTATGTGTTGACTTCTAAATAATATTAGAAAATAAAGTGTAACTGATAAATTTTTGAATGTTCATGAACATATATAATTTTATTATTTTGAAAATATATTTTATGTTATTTAAAAATATATATTAATGGAGATATTATTATTTTGTGAACTTTCCTTTTTAATAAAGTCTTATTATATATTTTCGTCTTTACATTTGTTTTAAAATTTTAGAAATATTTTCTTTTTATTATATATGTTATTTGGAAAAAGTTAAAAAGGAAACTAAATAAAAAATAATATAATCTTAAAATCTACAAATTCATTAAGGGTATCAACGTAATCAACCATTGTGAGAGTTAACGTGAGCGCGACACGTAGGAAACTGACTTCTCAAATAATATTATAGAGATCTTTTAAGCAATTAACAATGAGCCATTTAACATTTTTTAATTTTAATTTAGACCCAATTCTTAAATAAAAAAATAAACAATATAAATACAGGCTCTTTAGTCTTTACCGATTCGTCGAAATAGGATTAGAGCTTTTTTTTTGTTTTGTATTGTTGTCAGAGATATTTCGATATTATTATTACAATACATCCATCCGTATATATAATATCGTCACACACAAAGGTTTCGTCTTTGCCACTTTTATCCAATTAATGGAAGAAGACAACAAGCGAAGCAGATTCAGAAAAATCTGTGTCTTCTGCGGAAGCCACTCTGGTCACAGAGAAGTTTTCAGTGACGCTGCCATCGAACTCGGCAATGAACTCGTTTGCTCTCTTCTTCTTCTCTTCTTCTTATCATTGCTTCTCATTTGGTTTTACGATTTAAAAACATAAACTTTCGAAACATCAATGAAAGAAATCAACTTTTCAGAAAGGAAAAAAAACAGAGCTTTTCCTCTGTTTCTGGATACATTGGGTTTGACTTTGTGTTGCTTCTGTTAGAGGTGTAAAAAATAGGGTCTTGCTCTGTTTTTGTGAATGTGTTTATCTTTGGAATGTGTAGGTGAAGAGGAAGATAGACTTGGTTTATGGAGGAGGAAGTGTTGGTTTGATGGGTCTTATTTCCAGGAGAGTTTATGAAGGTGGCTTCCATGTACTCGGGTTAGTCTCTTTTAAGAGTTTTCACTTACAATCTCCTTTCATTTCTAAAACTTCTCTAAAGGTTTCTGATTGGATTCTATGTACTTGTAGGATCATTCCTAAGGCTTTGATGCCAATTGAGGTATGTATCTTCTTCTACAATCTCAATTTCTTCCAGGAAGTAGCAAACTTGGCCTGAGTTTTTGAAGTTTATCTAATAATGAATGTGTTTCAGTGTTAATCTTTTCTTTGTACTACTCCTTGGTTCTTGCATGCGTTCATATGGATTAAATTAAGGAGAGGACTAGAGTGATGATGTATGTTAGTTTTTAGGATTCATGGTTTGCCTTTACCATGTCTTATGTCTAGATATCTGGTGAGACTGTTGGAGAAGTAAGAGTGGTTGCAGACATGCACGAACGCAAAGCTGCAATGGCACAAGAAGCTGAGGCCTTCATCGCCCTCCCTGGTGAGAAAGAAGTCTTATATACAGAGCCAAAGCAACTTTTTAGTGCTGAATTTTTTGTTTTGTTTCAGGAGGTTATGGAACTATGGAGGAGCTGCTGGAGATGATAACATGGTCACAACTTGGCATCCACAAGAAAACGGTATATTCTAACAGTTTCCTTTTGCTATGTCAAAAAATGATGCAGAGGACTTTTAGTTCCTATGTTGATTTCGTTTGGGATTTGTTTTTCTTGCAGGTTGGTCTATTGAATGTTGATGGGTACTATAACAGTTTGCTTGCCTTGTTTGACACTGGCGTTGAAGAAGGTTTTATCAAACCAGGTGCACGTAACATTGTGGTTTCTGCTCCAACAGCCAAAGAGCTTATGGAGAAGATGGAGGTACATAAACTCAGTCTTCCCCTTTGTTTCTTGTAGAGAGTTATGTTGCAGATTCCACCAGTATTGTTTTCATATCCTTGACAGGAATACACTCCTTCACACAAGCATGTAGCGGCTCACGAAAGCTGGAAAGTTGAAGAACTTGGAGCTTAACCCTGGACAACAAATCAGTCCACAGTGAGAAGAAGAAGAAGAAGAAAAAAAAACACATTAGTATTGGTTAGCCTTATGCTACTTCCATTTCAAGTTTAGCCTCTGCAGAATCCAACAATGTGTGTATAAGAAAAAAAAAACTCAAGTCTTGTTGCAATTTGAGACAGCACATTGGGTCCCCAATGTGAAAGTGTTGCTGATTATGTTAGTTAAGTTTGGTTTTTCTTGGAATTTTCTGTGTAAAGAAGTCTCAACCTTTTTTTTATTTGTTTGTTTGTTATGATAATTTTGGTTTCCCTAAAGAAAGAAAGAAGGAATCTTATTGATTGTGGGAGATGCAGAAAAGTCCCACAAGTGTCGTATCATAGTGAATGTCTATTAGAATAGGAGTGTGTGGGTGGTCCTGTGTTTGTTTCATTCGATTGCTTCAATAGAAAATGTGAATGATGCCTGACATTGATGATGGGTTTCTTCTTTTTTGCTATCTTTTGTGTTGGGAATGATTTGGATTATTTTTATTTAACTATTTTTTTTTTTAAATGGTGATAATGATGATCATCATGGTGATAAAAACATGAGAAATTGGTGGAATTGTCCCTAAATACATCTCATATTTGCCATATAACCTTCCAAAATAGAAACTATTTTGTCTGACGATTATACCCCTATCTCATTCTCTCTCTTTTCTCTTCCATATCTTCTAATCTCTTTATCTCTCACACATGACATATTTATGCTTTCATTTTTTCATCATAAATCTCTATTTTTTACTCTGATTCTTTTGACACCCATATTGCTAATGTTATTATCTCACACTAATTCTATTATTTCTAATTTCAAATCTTGAAATATACATTCTTTTATTTGGATAATATGTAAGTTAGCAGCTATTTCATTATTTACCCGTTATTATTA